CCCGAAAAAAGCGACATTATTTTCTTTCCAACCTATTAGTATAAAAACAAACAATAAGGACATTATTGTACATATACATGGAAAACTTAGTATGTATAGATGTTAGAGACGGTACCTAAACAATGGAAAATGCTGCAGTAGTATTGGCCTGCGATATGGCAGAAATCGAGAGGTTTTATTGTCACATACGCCATTCTTGGCGCATGTCAATTCATCCGCAACATGGTGTATAGCAATCTCTGCTTCTTGACAGAATTTGCAACCGTCACGATGCATTGCCATCGATGTTAGAAGTATGAAGGGTTGCTCTAAAATCACTCGATCAACCAAATATTATACTTCACTAAGTAACTTACTATCGATGACGACCACTTCTACAGAGCTGCTGTTGAAACGTTTCTCAAACCAGTCAACTCGAAGCGGCGATATCCTATAAAGGTTGAGCAAAAGTACTATAAAAAAGCCACTGAGCCATTTTACTGACGCATAATGAAATCCTAGATCATGATTTCCAGCTAGGACATGAACCTCCGGTCTCTTTCCAGAAAAACCGAATAACGAATCAAATCTGTCTGCATATTTGTGGAATGTGTAGTAGTCTCCCCACTGACCCTCATCCGTCAAATCGCCTGCAATGCAAGGAGTACGTGTATTGCTATTAACTATTTGAAAAGCCATACCTAAAAAGAAAACAGCTTTGGGTGACAGAAGTTGAACAGCTGAATGATAGGATCTGTACATCTGCCATTCCCTAAAATTCGAAATCAGGTACTTTCAAGGGTACTAACAACATGAAGTGTTAACAACTAGGTTTGCAAGCAAAAGCGTGATTCAGCTTTACGAAAAGGAAAGCTTTAAAAAGATTAAAGACTTTAGAGAATCACTTACATGGATTATAAAAATGTGCAAATGACTTCTTCAATTGTAAATAAATAAAATAATTTCTGAAATCTTTTAAAAATTCAATTTATTTATAAGATAAGTTTGGCTGACGCCACGCCCCCTTTTTGGGGTCCCGGGAACGCGAAAAATTTGGGAAATTTGGGAAGCGCCCCAAAAAAATTTTCGGAGTATGTGGCTGACGCCACGCACCTCCATCCAAAAAAATCTTTGTCGCCCCCCCCC